TGCGCAGCAGGTGTCTGGCATCCCCTAAGCATAAGCCAGCTTCCCACCTGAGTGGCCCTTGGGTGTGACGTTGTTCTGTTCCAACGCACAGGTCATTCTGCCCTTGGGCACATGTGATATTCCTCTGAGAATGAGCGATGGCCCTGCTTCCCTAATTTCTCAAAGATGTTCACTTCCCATGCTCAAATCCTGCTCTCATGCGTGGAATGACTCTTGATGCACTGTGTGTATCAGCCTAATGTCATGTGAACACATCAAAGCTTTCTCAGGATCCCTCTTGGTGCCTCCCACATTCTACTTTTGGCTTCTCAAATGGGTGCCCCAACCCCGGGAGTGATCCTGTGACCAGCGTCACTCACAGACCAGCAGTGACCTCACATTTTCTCCCGGCTAGTGCACTGCCACTCAAGGAATGTTTCTGCAGCAGGATGAGGAGCCTAAGAGAGTGGAGAGCCCCAGGATCCCCCTCCAGTGCTCTGGGAAAGGTCTTAGAAGAAGATGTTCAGGTCCCAGAGAGAATCCCATCCACATAATCCCTGTCGAAGGGCCAGGCTGCCCGAAATCTGCCCACTAGCAAGGGCAGCTGCAGACTGTGGAAGCCGGAGAGACACAGCCTGTGTCTTGGAAGGAGAGGAGAGATGTTCTGGGAGCTAGAGCAATGGGCTTCCAGTTCCGCAAGAGACTGGATTGAAGTAGGTGGCCTTCAAGTTAAATAGCCCAAGGTGAAGATTCCAACCTCTTCCCCAGCCTTTCTATAGATGGAATGCAAAGAGGAAAACAGAGGCTGAGGACCTGCTCTTGATGCTCAGCCACCAAAGAGAGGGTGTAAGGACTCAGGCCTCTGCCGTGCCCTGGAAAAGTGCCAAAGCTCAGATCCAGACTGGCAAATGCCCACCCAGGAATCCCCACACCATGGGTCCCATGTGTTGGTGACACCCAAGGTCATGGCCCTTTCGCTGTTTGCTGCTCCAGTGGCTGGAACCGGGTGGGAGGAAGCCTCCAGAAAGCCTGTCCATCTGGAAGGCTGGGGAAGGCCATGGGGAAGAGTGGAAAAACCCTACATTTTCAGTTCCGTGAAGGTTGACAAGGGGGCTAAACGTTGAGAACATCACCCCTCTAGAGAATTCTACATGTTATTTTTCTGCGGATTCCTTTGGGACTCCATGTCATGTGATTCTGGCTCAGAAAACTGCCACCATCGCCGTCACCCTGTATTAAGGACTGCTGTGTTCCAGGCGCTGTCCTAGGTGCTGCGTATGCTTTATTTTTTTCCTGACAGCAGCGTTGAAAAGTTGTTATTAGGATGTCCGTTTCACAGATGAGGAGACAGAGCCACAAAGAGGTTAATAACTTGCCCAAGACACACAGTAATAGCAGAGCCAGGATCCTAACCCAGGTCTCCCTGGCACCAAAGCCATGTGTGTTCTTTGCCCTCCACTATGTAATCTTCAACATTGCCGCACTGAGAACAGTCCAGGGGTTCTGTGACCCCCTTCCACCACATGGTCTTATAGGTAAGTCTATGGAAGGAAGACAAGGATAGGGGTTCCCTTTCCAACACTTTTTCATTGTGTACCTGAGAGGGCCCCAGTCTCTCAGGTCCCCGAGCACAGAGATGGACAAGGTGGAGCTGGGTCCACCAGCCAGAGAGCCTGGAACCTTGGGGCCAGAGGGCCTTGGTGGGCCCGTGTCTGCACTGGGATTCAAGCTCCTAGAGCGTCCAAGCAGGGAAGGCACCCAGAGAACAGCAAGCTCCCTCCGTGGGACAGATGAGGAAACTGGCCCCGCAGGAAGACATAAATTGCCCAAAGCCACAGAGCTAGTTGGAGGCATTGTGTGTGGATGTGTGTGTGTACATAAGTGTACGTGAGAGAGTGTGTGTGTGTGAGAGGGGTGGCCCGTGAACAAAGGCCCACAACAAGGCTATTTTTTTAAAATTTGCTTTAACACAAGTAGTGTATTTGGGACAAGGTGACCCCAGGAAGGGGCTGTAGAGGAGTGGGGAAATGAAACGCAGCAGCGAATGGAGCCATGGCCGGGTTCACTAACTAATGATCAAGTTAGTGCTTTGGGCCACTGGGGCTCGATCCCACTGGGGACTCAGGGAGATGGTATAGGGTGTGCCTTAGAGTTGTCCCGTGCAAGGGACAGGGAAGCTGGAATATTTATGCAGCAACCCCATTGTCATTGGCCAAGTTCTGCCATCAGGGGACGTCGGCACCCCAGCACCTCTTGCCAAGCACATTCCAGCAATCAAAGAAAGCAAAGGGCTGGTATTAAAGGCGTCTAGACCCTTGAGTAGCCACCAGTTCCCTAACGAGTCTTGAAAACCCTTTAGGGTAGAGAGATCCTGGGCATCAGTGCCAAGGACAGTCTGGAGGAAAGATGAGTAAACCTGTACGCTGCCTGCCGGCCCCGGACAAGGCTGTGCTGTGGTGGGAAGCGGCTCTTTCCACGTGCTCTGGGGAAGAGATGGCAGGTGATATAGCAAGAGGGATTGAAGTTGGAGCTTAAAAAGAACTCAGTGACACTAGTGAAAAACATATCAAAGATGTCTAGAGGTTGGGCACGCTGACTCATGCCTGCAATCCCAGGACTTTGGGAGGCTGAGATGGGACAATCATTTGAGCCCAGGAGTTCAAGACTAGACTGGGTAACATAGTGGGACCCTGTCTCTACAAAAAAATTTTAAAAATTAGCCCAGTATGGTGGTGCCTGTAGTCCCAGGTTCTCAGTAGGCTGAGGTGGGAGGATCGCCTGAGCCCAGGAGGTTGAGGCTGCAGTGAGCTATGATTGAGCCACTGCAGTCCAGCCTGGGTGACAGAGTGAGACCCTGGCTCAAAAATAAATAAATAATACTTTTTAAAAAGCTATCTGGGGCTACACTGAGCCATGCAGCTTGATTGGTGGCCACAGAAGAAATGGTGGACATAGAAACAGGCAGCAGCAGTGAAAATTTCCCATGGCCAGGGCCAGCCAGCGAGCACTCCTTTACCTGTCAGAGGTGCGGGGGAGTGCTGGGAGGACAGATGGAGATTGAGAGAAGGGAGACTCTCCACCCTACCCTTGGCCGGGAGGAAGCACCAAGAGGAACACCTCTCTGCACCCTGAGGTCCAGTGGAAGCCGCAGGAAGAGGTCCCTCCTCTGGTGTGACTGGGCCCGTCTTTCATGGCGGCAAAGCCTTGGAAGACATAAGTCCGTAGGCTGCAGCTCTCCTGCACCAGGGCCGCCCACCACCCTGGGCCCCTGTTCTTCATTTGTAAAAATGGGGAGGGTGGGAGGCTGCATTAGATGACCTTGAGGTCCCTTCCAGTCCTGACTCCCCGTCACTGTCCACTGCAGAGGCCATCCTCGTGGCCCCTGGGTTCTGCTCAATCCACCATCAACAACGAGTGTTGACCAAGCACTCAGCATTTGCCCGGCATGAAGGGGCTGGGGGGCATAATCAAATAACACATAGGCCCTGGCTCCTAGGAAGGGATAGGTGGGGAAATAAGAGTTTATTTACTGGGCCAGGCACAGTGGCTCACGCCTGTAATCCTAGCACTTTGGGAGGCCGAGGTGGGTGGATCACCTGAGGTCAGGAGTTTGAGACCAACCTGGCCAACATGGTGAAACCTTGTCTCTGCTAAAAATACAAAAAAATTAGCTGGGCATGGTGGTGCATGCCTGTAATCCCAGCTACTCGGGAGGCAGAGGCAGGAGAATCTCTTGAATCCAGGAGGAGGAGGTTGCGGTGAGCCAAGATCTCACCATTGCACTCCAGCTTGGGCAACAAGAGTGAAACCCCATCTCAAAAACAACAAGAAAAAGAGTTTATTTACTGCGCACATACTCTGTGCTAAGCACCTGACCTCTGCTGCCTCCTTCCTTCCTCACTGTAACCCCCTAAGGTAGGAACGGACCTCCATTATACAGACAAGGGTACCAGGACTCAGAGGAAAAGCCAGTTGCCCAAAGCCACACGGTGGTAGAGCTTGGATTTGAGCCCATGTTGTTGACCACGATGACTCTCCTCCTCTGGGAAATAGACAGTGACTCTCTAAGGACAGCTCCTAGTGTTCCAGGGGACAGAGCAATGAAAGCTGCAGTCATCCAGGAAGGCCTCCTAGAGGAGGTGGCTGAGCACTGGGCCTCAGGGGAGGGGCAGAACTTGGAGGCTAGTGGGGAAGGAAGCAGCCTGAAAGAACCAGCTCCACAGAGCAGGCTGGACCGCGTCTGCTCCAGGCAGCAAGGTGTCTTCTCAGAGTAGGCGGGAGGGCTGCAGCCGCGGCTCAGCCTGCTGTGGCTCCAGAGGAACAGAGGAGGGGTCAGGGAGGAGCAGGTGTTTTCTAAACCCAGCAGGGCAGGAAGCCCCAGTCCCCACACCTGGAGCCCACCCCCTTGGAAAGGCTTCTGCCCAAGCCAGACCGGGCACCTTCCCTCCTCCAGACTCGCTTGGTCAGTCTGAAGATGAGCTTAGTGTGGATCAGCTTCCACAGCCACCTGAGCCTGTGCCCAAGGAGCCAGGCCACCGATCCGATAATTACAATAGGTAACACGTGTAGCAGTCACCATGCGCCAGGCACAGCTTCAAGAGTTGTAACTTCAGCCTTCCAGTATACCTGTGAGGTAGGTACTGTTACTGTGCCAGTTTTATAGATGGAGAAACAGGTGCAAAGAGGCTGAGTGACCTGCTCAGGGTCACACAGCTAATAAGAGGCAGAGCCCAGACGCACTGCTCTGCTGTACTGCTTCTAAGCAGAGGTTCCTGAGCCCTGGCCATAGCTGCCCCCTCCCTCTGACTGAGATGCCTCCCCAGGTTCGGGTTCTTCTCCTTGCCCAGGGCTCGTCCCTGCCATGATAGCCCCTCCCTAGAGGAGACTGTGAAAGACATCCCCTCCAGTCCTTGCCACAGCAAAGGCCAGGCCAAGTGCCTAGCTTCTCTCCCCGACCCCCACATCCACATGCACCCTGTCCCCCTCTCCCCCAACCGAGCACCGTTGCCTTTTGTTCACAGTGATGGCTCCTGCGCCCAGGCCGGTGGGGGCATGGAGGACTCCGTGGTGGCAGCGGCGGCGGTGGCAGCCGGCAGACCCAGTGCCCATGCCCCGAAGGCTCAAGCCCAGGAGCTGCAGGAGGAGGAGGAGCGGCCGGGGGCAGGGGCTGCCTCCCCAAGGGCTGGCCCCCAGCACATGGCCTCCCCCGGCCGGCAGCAGCCTGCCCTGGCGACCGCGCTGTGCTCCCACACCCCTGCCGCCTCCGATTACGAACTCTCCCTTGACCTAAAGAATAAACAGGTACCCAGGGCCTCCCAGGGGGGCGGGGAGGGTGGTGAAGGGGCCCTGTCTTTGGGGGCTGTCGAGGGTACCAGGGACATCCCCGCTGGGCCCCCTCTGCTACAGGCACACCTCTTTTGCCACAGTTCTCCTGCATTGAACGACCTAGTTTGCCCTTCTCTGGACCAGCCACAGGCCTCTGCCTTCTACCATGGCAGGGCTCATACCCTCGCAATGCCAGGCCCTTGGGCAGCGTGTCCAGGGGCTCTGCTCCTTGAACAGTGCTCAGCAAGCCTCCCCTGCCCCACAGACCACTAGGCACGGAGCCGATTGTTCTCTGGGGAAGTCCCCACCTCCACCTGCTGCTGAGAGGCCATAGTCCAGTTTCCATGCCCACCCAGGGAGTCGATGCCAGGCACCCACAGGCACACACGAGGCACAAAGACAAAGGTCTCCTGGAAGCAGACAGGATTCCCAAGATCCATCCAGACTGGGGGAGTCCAAAGCTCCCCTATTGGAGAACAAATTCCATGGAGGGGCCTGGGCCTCCATCTTCCATTCAGGAAGAGAAAGTGGCCAATTGTGGGGCCCCCATTGAACCCCCAAAAAAGATAATGCCTCAGTGTGTCTTGGCAGACAAGAGTCTTGATGGAAGGGATGTGTGTGTGTGTGTGTGTGTGTGCGTGCGTGCACTTTGAGAAAGGTGTGATGGCATGATACTGTTAAAGAAAGGGCTTTGAACTTGGAGATGTAGATGTGGGATCCAATCCTTGCTCTTCCTCCTGATGAACCCAGTGGCTTTGGGAGTGCCAGTTAAGCCCTCCGGGCATTGATTTCGTCATCTGCAAAAATTGGAATTAACTTTGAATCATTTCCAAGGCCCCTTCTGCCCCAAAATGTGAAGGTTCTAAAGAACAATTCTTCAACCCAATAGGTATCTTCAGAAAGGAAGCTTAGTCTCCACTAAGACTGAGTCAAGCCAAACTAACCTCCTTCCTCTCTTGGCATTGATGCCAAGCTCATGTCCTGGCTCAGGCCAGCTGTAGGCAGCACATCAGTAAGGGTTTGACCAAATCCCCCAAGATACCTATGTGCACATGCTGGGAATGCGTGGATTGCTAACAATGTAGTAAGTGGGATCGTTCTCAAACCAAATTATCCAAAAAACGTCCATCAAAAAAAATCCCAGGGAGTTAAGTGGAAGTGCTGTCCAGGTCGACCATTAGACAGGGCAGCAAATTGAGGCACACAAGTTACATTCACTTGGCTGCTGATGACAAGAGGCTGAAAGAGAACAGCTGATACCTTGGCGACAGCATCACAGACTTTGTGAAAACCTCATCAGGGGCCGGGCGCTGTGGCTCACACCTGTAATCCCAGCACTTTGGGAGGCCGAGGCGGGTGGATCACCTGAGGTCAGGAGTTTGAGACCAGCCTGACCAACATGCTGAAACCCCATCTCTACTAAAAATACAAAAATTAGCCAGGCGTGGTGGCAGGTGCCTGTAATCCCAGCTACTCAGGAGGTTGAGGCAGGAGAATTGCTTGAATCCGGGAGGAGGAGGTTGCAGTGAGCTGAGATTGCACCACAGCACTCCAGCCTGGTGACAGAGCGAGACTCTGTCTCAAAAAAAACAAAACAAAAAACATCTCATCAGGACAGAAGGATGGTTTTAATGAAAAAAAAAAAAAAAAGTCAGATGAAATGTGGAAAAATCTAAAATTCTGCTCCTAGCTTCGGAAAGCCCATAGCACTAGTATAAGACATTCAGGCTCCAGCCTGAGAGACAAGCCTTAGGGTTTCAGGTGCCTGGAAGCTCAATCAGGAGCAGGGGAAGCAGCTGCCGGAGTAGGGAGGGCCTGTTTCACACTTCATGGAGGCCCACACTGCCCGGCAGAAGGGAGTGCTGCACCCGCCGCAGCCCCGCGACGCTGATGGTCAGGACCCTCGAGATCCGTGCTTGGTGCTGGAGGCTGCATTTAAGGGAGGAAACAAGAACCCTGAGGTTCCTGAAGAGCAGAAAGATGGGCTGGGGTTATGTGGAGAGATCGCAGACAGGAAAACAAGTTTTAGATCTAGAAGGGCTGCATGTGAAAAATGATTTGATGCATTTTCTATCATTCCAGCCGAAAACAGTGGCACCAGTATATGAAGGCTATAGGAGGCGGAGATTTTAACTTAATTAACAGATAAACTGTTAAAAATATGGAGTGCCCTGCCTGTGAGGTAGGGAGTTCTCTGTCTCTGGGAGTGCCCAGGCGGGGCTGGGTAACCATCCATCTGTGATGTATAGTGTGATCTGGGGGCCACTTGGCCAGATGAGGGGTCCTCTGCTTCCTGAGGTCAGAGACCATCTCTTATCCATTTTGATACCTCCCCAGCATCCAGCAGAGTGTGCTGGACACAGTAAGAGCTCACTGGGTGAGGTTTTTTTTGTTTTTTGTTTTGTTTTGTTTTGTTTTGAGACGGAGTTTTGCTCTTGTTGCCCAGGCTGGAGTACAGTGGTGCAATCTCGGCTCACCGCAATCTCCCCCTCCCGCGTTCAAGCCATTCTCCTGCCTCAGCCTCCGAGTAGCTGGGATTACAGGCATGCGCCACCACGCCCAGCTAGTTTTGTATTTTTAGTAGAGACAGAGTCTCTCCATGTTGGCCGGGCTGGTCTCGAACTCCTGACCTCAGGTGATCCACCCGCCTTGGCCTCCCAAAGTGCTGGGATTACAGGTGTGAGCCACTGCGCCTGGGCTGGGTATTTTTTAAAAATAATGATGTTGTGCAAAGCAATGAGGGAATGGGGTACCAAGAAACAAAAAATAATGCTTGTACCTACCCCCAAAAGAGATTACAGTTCCACTTAAGGAGTATCTGGTCACTAACACCAGATAAAACGTGTGTATTGGTTTGGGCAGGTGAGTTAGTTTGGTTTTGACTGACTGGGTGCCGTATCGGGGTTGGTGCGGGATTCTGGTCGGTACTGTGGGCTTTTCTATGGGGGCATAATTCTAATAGATGGCTTCTGCATGTTGGCCAGATTGAGTCAGGTGAGGTGAGGAGTGGCAGTGGGTGCAACGGGGCCCTCTGCTGAATGAGTCCAGCCTGGGAGAATAGCTTGGTTCCCCTGACCTGTGTATTCCTTTAGACCAAGTGTAGGCTGGGGGTTGGGGGAAGGGGACAAGTAAGGCTTGAGAAGGCTAGAGCAAGGTTCTTGGAAACATGACACCATTTATAGGAGACTGAACTCTCCTCCTCTCTCTTCTGCCATGAGCTGTATGGCCTTGAGCAAGTTGCTTGACTTCTCTGGCCTCGGCTGCCTCCTATCTCTGGGACTTCACAGGCTCTTCCCTTGGCCTCAATCTCTGAAGCTGCCACTCCCCTCCACACCCCTGCACTTAGCCTTCTCTTGCTTTAGGACTTGCTTTAGGTACCTCTTCCTCCTCTCAGGCAGCTTTCCCTGCCTCCCAAGCCTGCACTGGGTGCCCCTCTCAGTGATCCCACAGTACCCAGGTGTCCCCTGTCACAGCCCTTCAGCCCTGTGTCAGCATTTCCTGTTTGCTTGACCCCCTCCTGAAGGCAGGTGCATGACTTGGTCCTCATTATATTCTCAGTGCTTAACGCAGTGCCTGGCGAAGAAGCTGCTGGAAGGATGAGAAAGGGGAAATGGTCACTAAGTGACATAAAGGGAGATGGGTATACAGCCTGGGGCCTGGAACCGCCTGCCTTAGGTCTCTTTGAGACCTAGGACTTGGTATTCCAACCCAGTGATTCCGCCAGCCACCCTGAAGCCAGCCACCCTGAATCCTGTGTTCCATGGCTCGGGAGGAGTGCTGAATTTTAGCTCCCCAGCCCATCCAACCCAGTGATTCCGCCAGCCACCCTGGAATCCTGTGTTCCATGGCCTGGGAGGAGTGCTGACACTTTAGCTCCCAGCCCATCCAACCCAGTGATTCCGCCAGCCACCCTGAATCAGTTCCATGGCCTGGGAGGAGGCTGACACTCTTGCTTCCCAGCCCATCCAACCTGTGATTCCGCCTTAGCCACCCTGAATCCTGTGTTCCATGGCCTGGAGTGGAGTGCTGACACTCTTACTCCCCAGCCCATCCAACCCAGTGATTCCGCCTGTGCCACCCTGAATCCTGTGTTCCATGGCCTGGGAGGAGTGCTGGACACTCTTAGCTCCCCAGCCCGCCGACGCGCCAAGCCTCCTGTGTCAGCCAGTCCAGATCCCCAGGAGTGTTTTCCTTGGCTCTTCTCCATCTTTCACCTCTGCTCTAACCCCAATCCCCACTGACTCTGCCTCTTAACAGTTCCGGAATCCCACCCTCTCTTGCCTTCCCCACTGCCCCTGCCTCAGGAGGCCAGGCCATCCTTCCGCTTGCCTGCACCCCTGGCGAGACCTCCTGCGCTTCCCCTTCTTTGAGCTGTGCTCCTTCCAACCTCACCTCCACGATGCAGCTGAGTCATCTTCCTAAAGTGCACCTCTGACCGCGGTGATCCCTGGGAGAGCCTCTGATGGCTCCTCCTGGTGTCCAGGACAGAGGCCTCTCCACGCTCCCTGCCACAGTCCCAGCCCCACAGGTGTTCCAGCCGTTCTTATTTGCTATCCTGAATCTCAAGCCACTCTCACCTCTGGGCGTTCGTGTGGTTTTTGTTTCCTCTCCTGGCGATACTCCTTGCCTGTCCCTGACCCCGTCTGCTGCACCTGGGAGACTTCTGCTCATACCTCAGGTTGCAGCCGAGGCAGGTGCTTTTACCCATTGCCTGTTGCCTCCTCTGTGCTGTCTGGGAGTGGGAGCTGTTCTGCTTAACAGCATGGACCATGTTCTCAGGGCTGTGTGGAGTTGAGCAGGTGGTGCTCGGGACACCTCCAGGGTGCTGCATAGCCCACAGGAAGAGCCGGTGCTCCTGGAGTTGTGCCCTGGGAACTGCCCTGTCTTTGCCCACCTTTGCTGCCCTGCACCTTGCACAGTCTTGGGCACCTAGGAAATGCTCACCAGGGAAGGAACGTAGGAATGAAGGCACAAGC